CTTCTGCCAACTCACCGCCACCAAGTTTCTCCCTCCGACTGCCCATGGTGAGTTGTCCTCATGGCGAGTTCACCGTATGGAGTTAGCAATGGCAAACTGACAGTGGTGAGCTGGCGGCAGCGAGTTGTCCCATTCTAATGTCATCTGTGGCTGGTGATCTACTATCTGTAGTATCTTATTTTCTAGACAGGTTGGTACCTGAATACATTAACTCTACAGATGTTTTGTCACTCTATAATCCCACCTGTAAAGGATTTAGGACCTTTCCATCTTCCTTTAATCTCATTTCTTCTATCAGGTCTCTTTTACTGTTAAGTATTCCTCTCATAGCTGTAAATTTGCCTGTGATTTATCTGATCTTCTCTAAAAGTTTCTCATTTTTCTTTTCTCGCAATATTCCTCCTTATGATTGAGATATTTTTTCTTGTCTTTTCTTGCTTGACAGTGAAATTCTGCATTGAGTCAGCTACATACATCTTGTTGCCCAAGGCTTTCATCCAGTTTTTCTCTAGCTAACGCAACAGCTGATCCTGAAAGACGTGTGGATTTTTTCATCTTTGGAATTTTGGGACTTTTTTTTCTATGTCCATGTTATACAGTATTACAATAACTTTTCTCTCTTTCCATTGTTTTAAATTGCCCATAATTTAATTGTCTAGGTTTAACCTGTTTACTTGATGCTAATAATTCATGATTTGTTCTACAAATTACACCTAAAAGTAACCTGGTTGACTTGATTGCACTTATCAATCTTTTATTTCCTTTTCTGAACAGGCCTGGTGTCTCAATGGCTTAATGAAGTTAGAGAAAGTCTGTACTCTGGCAGTTCAAGACCTAACGTTGCGTGATGGAGTGAGCTCCCATCAGCATCTGCCAACCTAGAAGTTCAAAAGCATGCTACATGCAAGTAGATAAATAGGTACCACTTCAGTGAGAAAATAATGCCGTTTCGTTCAGTAGTGTGAATCCAGCTGGTACTGGACCTTCCCCAATGTGATGCCTGAGCACGAAGCAACATTGGTGGAGGGAGAAGCCCTGAATGATGTTGTAGAACACTGTTGAAACTTTCTGAGTGTGGAAGTAGTCCACCCCCTGTGGTGTACTCTGGTTAGCCTACACGCATGAAACGGACTACCAATTGTCAGATCCAAACAACTACTTTGTACTAACCCTGTAATCTCCTGGCTAATCTAACTTTGCCATAGGCTCATTAAATAAATAAATAAATTTCTGACATGCGTCTCAGCCCTATGGTATACCAAATGTTTCGGTTGAACCTTGAAAGCACAATTCCTTGAAAAGAACAGCAAGGTTTGTGCCTTAAAGATGTTCTGGAATGGAGAAACCCTGATCAGTGGCTTACTAAAGTAGAATGCACTTAAAGAGTGAGAGTGAGAGTGAGAGTGAGAGTGAGAGTGAGTGTGTGTGTGTGTGTGTGTGTGTGTGTGTGTGTGAGAGAGAGAGAGAGAGAGAGAGAGAGAGAGAGAGAGAGGGAGGGAGGGAGGGAGAGAGGGAGACTTATTTGCTTTCAGTTGTTTATACATACATTTCTACCTATGTCCCTGTCTCTTGATGCAAAAATATTAGTTTTCTTATTAATGAAATTATTCTTTGTATAGATTAAATACTCACCATAATTCCTTGCGTAACTTTAGATATACTAGTTATCAGTGGGGCTGTGATTACTCAACAATTGTTCAGAAGAAGTGGTTTTGGAACCAGCACAAAATCAGTGTTATTCAGAAAGCAGTCTATTTCTATCAGCAGCACTCCCAGATTTTCATGTAAATCTTAGAGAAAGAGGTGTTGCCTTAAGGAGGCAACTCAAATTAATGTGATTCTTAAAGCAATCAAAACTCACTTTCGGGGTAACAAGAAAGCTTTTCAAATGTTGAACTGCTTCTGTGAATAGCAGGAAGATGCTGTACTTGCGGTAGATACAAATCACTTTTTGAAAATCATTTCTGAAAACAACAGCCCATCATTAATATAATTACTTTAGATTAAAGGCAGTTTTCCAACACTAGGTATCAAGAATATTTATCCATTGTACCCCACGATGATCATTTGGCCTGTATTATTAACTTTATTTTTGTCCTTTTCCTGGTATCATCCACCCAATAGCCCAAAAAAAGATTCTAGCACTGGATTCTAAATAAGCTAAGTTAATTTAGGGAATTCTTAGCTAAATTGAGAGAAGGGTTTTTGTTAAACTTCTCTCTCAAATAATTTGCCATTCTTATAGAGGTATAGCTATGTTAGTTTTTGGCACAAAAATGATAAAGAATCAAAAAATTAAAGACCAACTCCAATGCAACACCTAAATGAATTTAAGATTGTTAAAAGTAAAAGGGAAGAATATAAAATTGGTTTGTTTGACCAAGATTAAAATAAGACATGTTTCTACAAAGCTCTGGTAAAACTTTTCAGACTTTTTTTTATGACATCAGGACTGATAAATTGATGATTGATAGATTTGCATATACTTTAAATAAGGGATGGGTTATGGGAAAAAGAAAATTTGTTTATAACATAAGGGGCAAAGAGTTGTTAAGTTTCTTTATACTTATTCTGATGAAGATCAGAAATAATTTATATACTATATACCCATGATGGCATGTGAGCGTCACTCCAGTTCAGCTCCGCTGCACATGCACATGTACATGCCTCCTGCCGCCCAGCTGGTTTTCGGGTCTCTGCTGTGCATGTGCGGGGAGTGGGGCACATGCAGGGGGCGCGTGCGCATGCATGGGGACACATGTGCAGGGGCCGCACGCGCATCGCATTTTGGGGATTCCGGGGCACGCACGTGCATTCACGTGTGCACACGTGCGCGCTTTGGGCACTCGGTCCAGAAAAGGTTAGCCATCACTGCTATATAGTATACTATGTACTATAGTGGGGTGAGGTTCCATCAATACGCTGATGACACTCAGCTGTACATCTCCACCCTGGACCACCCTAATGATGCCCTTGACGTGATGTCCCGGTGCCTGGAGGCCGTGCGGATCTGGATGGGGAGGAACAGGCTCAGACTCAACTCCTCCAAGACCGAGCGGCTGTGGCTTCCGGCGTCCCGATATGGCCAGCTGACGCCATTGCTGACTATTGGGGGTGAGTCTTTGGCCCCCACAGAGAGGGTCCGCAACTTGGGTGTCCTCCTGGATGCACGGCTGTCCTTGGAAGAACATCTGACGGCTGTGGCCAGGGGGGCCTTTTATCAGGTTCGCCTGATTTGCCAGTTGCGCCCCTTTCTGGATCTGGACTCCTTGCACACAGTCACTCACGCCCTCGTCACTTCCCGCCTGGACTACTGTAATGCTCTCTACATGGGGCTCCCCTTGAAGAGCACCCAGAGGCTCCAACTGGTCCAGAACAGTTCATCTGTTCTCATACAGGTAACCATTATTTGGAGAGAGAATAGAGAGAAGAATGGTGAAAGGAAAAATGAGAGATGGGAATGTTCTTCTCTTAATACTCATCTTTATCATTTTCATTCCCTCTTCTACACCCAACTATTGATTTATTGATTATATGCCAGCAAGTGGGTGTCAACTCTTAGCAACCAAATAGATTTTCTCTGTTACAATCTATCCCCAACCTGATCTTTCAGGACTTCCAATCATGCATCCAAACTGTAATTTAGTCCATCCACTTGCCACCCCAAGTAGCTCTGTGCCTAAGTGTCATATCTGTCCTCACACTGCTTCAGGTTCGCTTCACATTAATGGGATCCTGACATAAAAGGGGGGAGGGGGGAGCAAGGCAAGAGAACACAGGAAGGGGTAATGACAGGAAACAGAGGTGCCAATCGGACACAATGGTTGAGAGATCCAAGGACACAACCGTGAAAACGGAATGCAAACATCCATGAAAGAGGTGCCAAATCCAGAACTGTTACCAAAATGATGTATTTGAATACTATTGGACACTGACCAGATGGCCAAGGGGAGGAGGACCTGGGAGGACCTGGGGAGAAGGAAAATGTACCATATTTACATGGGAATATTCAGATCTGTCTTCGCTTAAACTATAACCACTTGACCTTAGTAAAAGCATACGTTTTCTCAAAAATGGAGTTAAGGGTCTTTCTTTTCTAAGTGTCCAAGTTGGGACAGGAATGACACTAAGATTACTTGTCCAAGGCTGCAAACCACTGACCAAAATAATCTTTGAACTGTTTTTGTTTTTTTTTAAAGGATATGTGGGAGTCTGTTGGAAGGGGGCACTTGCCCATGGGGATATTAAGAGAGAAAAAGACACATCTGTTCTTTTTGATCCATGGTGTGTTGTTGTCTTACATAATGAACTGGTTTAGTAATCCATTTTATTCAGTCTTCAACTAAATGAAACAATAACGAGGCTTTCTAAAGGACCACTTGCTGTAGACTTCTACAATATCCAAGTAGACTTTTCTTTACACAAAAAAGGTAATAGTCTTTAGCATTTGTGAAGTTCAGAAAAATAAGTGAAGTAGAAATTATCTGGGACACCATCCATTTCCCTGAGATATACCAGTTTAATTTATTTTCCTGTCTAATCTGGAAGATTTGCCTTTCAATATCTTTTTTATTATTGTTAGCAACTTGCCTACAAGCTTATGCCTGAGACACAGTTCACCTTAAAGTGAATTTCAGAAACTACTGCTAGAAGCCATAGAAAAAATAGTTATCATGGGGGGCAAGCATCTGGTACTCAGCGCAATAACACAAAGAAGCAATGCTTTTACTCTGTAGGTTACTTTTGCATGGTAACTAAATGGGAAATACAACTGCAGGATTCCAAGATTGTGTAAGTTCTGGAGTGCCTTCTCATAAATCCATGCGCATCCTAAAAAGAGGAAGTTAATAGGTTTAAAGGGGGGAAAAAAACACCTCTCAAAGCGTAGTAAAATTCCCAAGCAGTTTTAAAATGCATTGGAACAAAACTGCTGAAATAATATCCTAAATATTTAAAGAATAAATTTAAAAGTTAATAGTTTCCTGACAGAAATATTGTACCTGGGCCCTGGTGTGAACTTCCCCAAGGAGTCCAGAATATTGCTGTTCCAAGTCTTTTTTCTGCTTTAACCAACAGCTTTCTTGAGCTTTCATCTGTTCTGCAAATTTCTTCAAAGTCTCTTCTTGGGTCTGTTGAATCTCCTTCATTGTATCTGACTTATTTTTACAAACATATTCAAGGTGTGATACCTGCGTGATTGGCATTAAAAAAAAAATCCTTCAATCTTCTCAAACACAATTCTATTTTAAAATAGACGTTAATAAGACATTCAGGGTGCTATAACTAATCCCATAACTCACAAGGAATTAAGTACCACTTCTCAGCAATGGAAACCTACCAGTCAAATTTCCTCAGCCTGTGACCTGTGACCTGGATCTTTTACTATCTATACTTGACTACCCTTTCTAACACTGAAAGTTTTAGGATCAAGTTTCTGTACCAGCCCACCAATTTTTAATGCAAGGTGAATCTGAAAGTGAGCGCGGTGATTGGATTTTTCTCAATACAGAATGCAATTCTTGACCTATTTCTGGGTGAGTTGTTGGTTTTGTTGTTGGTAGCTGCTGCTGAAGTTTTAAAAGAGTTGTGCCTCATGCTGGAAAAAAAAAAACCCAATTAATAATATGTAAGTCTTTTACAACAGAAATTAGACGAAGGATATAATGTTACCCCATTAGTAATACATTTATATAGGAAAGCAGCCCAGTTGATGAAGAGTTGTGGCTAGGTTGTTGTTTATCTTAAATATCACATTTTTAATAGATAATAACATTAAATGCTGTAGCTGCAGCAACCACAAAGAGTTTTCACGGAGAAAGGACTGGCGGTCAGCTAAACCATACAAATAGTTTGTACTGGGAACAGAAGAAACTTTTCATACAAAACAGTGCTAATGATTTTTAAAGGGTATCAAAAATAATTTTCATATTGGATAATTCAGAGGCCTTCAAAACAAAGGCCTAGACCTTTTAAGCAAGCAGCCAATAGCATATTATTTTGCCATCCTTTTTAAAGGTTTGTTGGTTTATTATAAACCCTTGATTTCATTTTGCCTTTGTGCCTCCTATTTTATTTCTTCCATTGTTAGAAACTGAATTGAACTTTATTCATCTAACAAGACTAAAAAGCGGACTTAAAACTATACTTGCTCAAAGTTAGCCAATAATACAAATCTAGTTAAGCCCTCCTGTCAACTCCTAGAAGCACGTTCTACCCCATTGGGACATTTGCCCAGAAGCTCATGTCAGCAGGTTTCTTCTAGGTTAAGGCATTGGTTGAATTTCTGATTGCACTCTCTGTTATCATTTTGCATCAACTGGTTCTTAAACTTTAAAAATAAAGTTCCTTAGAGTTATACTTTATTTCCTATGGCTTGCCTTAAACCTGAATGTGAGATGAATAGCTCAGCTCATATGAAATGCTTTTCTTCCTACCCTTGGGGAGCCTAATCTAAGTGATGACCAAACTCTGGAATTCTTCTCCTAGATCACAGAAAACTATGGTAATAGTGAACAAGTCAGGAATGCAGATGGATGGAAGTGTTAAAAGATAGATGGTACAGATATTTGTACATAACAAAATGTTTCTTTTTTTTAAAAAAAAAGCTGACCTTATTTTACTAATCTTATTTTCAGCTAACAAGTCAACTCATGTCAACATATGCATGAACTTCATTGTTAAGCTTTCTTAAACATTATGTTCTTTAAACTTATGATGTATAGATTTGCAATTTCTATATATGTTTACAAATCCAAAAGGATCAAAGAGCACCTGGCATTTCATGGAAACATTTTTTTTCCCTTCCTCAAATAATTCCTCCAACCCAACAGCAAATATTTTAAAGAGGATGTTCCTCGAACAAGTGCGTTTTGTTTCTGTTTTATGCTGAGATAAAGAGTTGGTTTATTAGTGTAAATGACTCGGTCCTTTGAATAGCTTCATCAGTAAGATTAATTTATTTTCTTTTAATTAGGTCCCTGTGGCTAACACTGGCTAATAGTATTAGCAAGTCCTGAACAGAAGCTGGAGCTTAGAGATTTCATACAGACTTCAGTCACATTTACATGCCCACAGCAATGGCATCAAACCGAGCTGTAGACAAGCCATAATTAACAGTACTGAATTATTAACACCCAAATTCTTTTTGAAATAAGATGAATGTCAGTCCTTTTTAACGATATTGTGATGTGGACAAATGTCACTGAATTTAATAGAGGTGTCTGGTGCCTGAGGACAGTACCTTCTCATTAGCCTTGTTGAGGTCTAAGATCAGCGTATCAACATTTTCTTGCAAGACTGTGCAAAGCTCCGACCAAGAGAATTTATCCAGGATGCCTTCTGATTTCTTTATAAGAACGCAGCCTGCTACTAAGTGCTGGTACAAAGTATGGAGGAAAGTTAGCTTCTCCTGCAAAATGCAATTCAATTTTTGGAAGAAAAAAAGGAAAAGGAAAAGGAAAAGAAGTGGAGAGGAAGAAAGAGTTAATGGCAAATATTTCTACATCGAAATGTTTAACATAAATAAAAATAAATTAGTGTTCCAAAGTGATGATCTATGCTCAAGAAATTAATCGAAATCACAAAATAAATAATTGCCTATTATATTTACACTAGGGCTGAACCTGCAGACCTTTTATTTAAGCAGTGAGGGGTTTCCCCTTGTTTAGTAAAGTTTAAAATGTATAGCCTACTAAAGATTACAGAGAATCAGACCTTGTAGTACTTTTATTATTGTATCTATTAATAAAATGCTGGTGGCAATTTTTTAATGAATAAAAAAGATCATACTAACAGCTTACACAGGGAGTAAACTAAGTGTTAAACACAGAGCAGCTCTTGAAAAAACAACTGCTTGTTCAGCTCTACTTCTCTCGTTTCACACCCAGGGTTTTTCTGCTACACACACACACATACACAAAATGAATAATTTGGAATATAAACAGGACTATGTAAAATACTATGTAAAATACTTTGACTTCATGACACAAAATAGATTGCTAGTTTTATGTTTACTGCAGTATTTAATTTATTCTTATTGATAACTTTATTAAATACTTTGAGCCAGGGATAATTAATGTAATTATGCAGCAAAATTATAGTATATTGTTGCATCTTTTTAAAAACTGCATGCATCCAACTCTTTAAATAAAGTACAAATCTGCAGACTAAAATAGTTCTTTTAATATCTGAATTTGGACACTGAAACATTTTTTTCATTAATGTAAATGGGAAAAGGCTCCCATTGTGCATCATTTTGCTTAACGCAAAGGGCTTTGAAACTTTTCTGCGAATCCCCAACCAAAACTTGAGCCTGTGATCCAAACCCCACTATCTTCAATGAAAAGACTTCGACTGCTTTTAGTGTGCTTTAGACGTAGTCCAACCCAGGCCATTTCCAAACAAACTTTACGAAAGCATTAAAAGCAGAATTACAGTTGTGATTCTTCCAACCCTAGTTCGGTGTTTAAATCGCTCAGAAGAAAACACCAACAACACATGGCGAAAATAGCAACAAAAGCATTTCCATGCAGTCTTTCACTTCTCCTTGTTAATTTAATCTGTCGCCATTCTGTCCTTTTTGCTTGGGCTGTGATAAACCAAGCATAGTAATCATCCATTTGGCCTGGAAAAGGAATCCAAAGGCCTAGAATCAATTCACACATGTTGAACCCAACCACAATACTGTAGACATGCTGACTTTACAATATTGTCAGGCTTCTAGTTTCCTCTACTTTAATCACTATCTGATGAGCAGAACAATTCCAGTTGATTCATATGGACACAATTTAAATCCCAGACTGGAAGAAGGGTGGAAATAATGTTTCCTTTTAGTCGCTTGGCATTCATTCTCAGATTCGTTAGAATAATGAGCTCAATATGCAGCACAATCGAAATTTTTAAAAAAGAGAAAGAATACATTTAATATACCTAGCACAGAAAAGCTATGAGCGCAAAAGAAAATGAAACTCTAAACACAAGCAAACGATGTATTTTTAAAATAGGATAAACATCAGGGTGGAAAGCATGTTTCAAAATAACACTTCATGAAACAATTACTGTACACAATACTACAATCAGCTGCTATCCCAAGAATAGGCAAGCTAAGTTGACTTTGTTGATGGGTGAGTAAAATGATATAGGTCCTTCTCATCTCTTGGACTTGCCACTTGAAACAGTTAATAGGGATTGGTGCCAAGGGATTAAACAGCTAATCTATTCCAAATGCAGACATATTTCAAATGTATGTATTTTCATTCAGCTAAACATTAACTTTCAAAAATTCCTTAGGCATGTATTTACATTTCTCGTCTCAAGAGAACAGCAATATTCTTTAAATGTAAAGAATCAGATAAGTTGAGCAGTTAATATTTTTAAATCCTAGTAACAATAACAACTGATTACATTTATATGCCGCCCGATTCCCAGCAACTTTGGGTAGTTTGGACATTGATTAAAACATTAAAAGCAATAATGAGAAGAAATAAGAAACAAAAGGCTAAAAATGGCGGGAAAACGGAAAAACAAGCCAGGTTACTCTTAAGTGGAAAAATAAAATAAAAACATAATGCCAGAAATAAAAGTTCACAAAAACATTGGAAAGCAATCATTTAGCTTTCTTATTGAAGTGGCATAAATCTGTATCTACAAAACAAATGATCTGATACATGGAAATATGAAAGGTAAGGTTTAAATAATATTTCTCACAGAAATCTTGTTTCTGGTAATACCTCTGTATCCTTCTCATAAGCCTGTGTGAGATTCTGAATTTCATTTTTATATTCTGTACAACACGCTTTCTCTTTCTCCAAGCAATGCAATACGTTTTGTAGTTCCATTTTTAATGTAGCTATTAAGGATTCTCTGTCTGCACACTTAGTTTGCAGATTATTTAACTCCTTCTTGGTATCAGTGAGACTGTCATGTTTTACCTAAAAATAGTATATAAAAAAGGAAAGATAAAGGCTTCATGCAATAAAGTACAACCTTCTTTATCTGATAACTCTTTTCGGATATACATGTCTAAATGTCCCACAAACAAGACCGTTTTAGTCCAATGGTTAACTACAATAAGCAAACCACGGAATTTAAATTTAAATTAAACAAAGCCACTAGTGGGACTCCAGTGGAACTGTTATTTTACTTTTAGGCTTGTTGCACTGGCATTTTTCAAAACCATCATCACACATTAATAGTCTTAAACCCTTTATGCTGAAGGTGTCCTGCTGCACCAACAAAATTCCTTTGATTAGAATTTTTCAAGGTTATAACTACAATCGTTATAACAGACAAAACTTATTGGAAGAATATACCATTTATTTAGCTTTAAGTTAACAGATATGTTAAAGACACAAATACCTGAAGTTCTTGAGTTTGAGATCTTAGCTGGTGTTGGGTAGCCTCAAGTTCTTTTGCCATCTTCTCAGAAAGAACTGTCAGTTTCTCTAGCTAGCAAAAAAAAATGTAGCCAACAATACATCAGATTCAAGAGAAATGAAATTTCAGCTTAATTGCCTACAGACTAAAGCTGAAATTTCATGCCGACTGATTTTTCTGGGAGTAAAATGGCCGATATCACAGCAACAGGCAGCTTGACACTAAATTAAAGATGTTGTTGCTTTTCTGTTGTATATTAGTAGCTCTGTCTGCTGTATATTAGTATCTATAGCTGCCTTAGATATATTTTCCAATCTGCAAGGATTGGATTCCCCCAAATAATTTATTAATTTAATGTAGCAGTTGCACACACATTTACTTGCAAGTCATTAAGTTCAATAGGAGCCTATAGATCCGTGATGGCGAACCTATGGCATGCGTGTTCAAAGTGGCATGCAAAGCCATGTCGCCTGGCACACGTGGCTTTGCCTGTTTGTCTTCCGGGTTTCTGTGCGCATGCGTACACGACGATCATCTGTCCTTCATGCACGTGGCAGTGCCGAAAACCAGCGAGTGCATACATGCCAGCCAGCTGATTGTTGGGTGTGCATGCATGCCAGAACCCGGAAGTTTGGCTTTTCTGGAGCGTGATCCCTTTACACGCACGGCAGTGCTGAAAACCCACATGCGCACCAGCCAGCTGACTGTCAGACACACATGCGCGCTAGAACCCGAAAGTTTGGCTTTTCTGGAGTGCAACCCTGATGAGCGCGCATGCGCGGCATTTCCGTGCAACCTTTTCAGCACTCGGTGCCAAAAAGGTTCGCCATCACTGCTATAGATAAATGCATTTAGCCTCATAGTCTCAGCCTGACTTGGCTTGTGGTAAAACTGCTAAGTTGCTCTAACTGAACAAATTAGTAGAAAAAGGTTATCATGATAAGTGTTTTTAAAATGGCTGTGGAAACTTACAAGCACAATAAAGGTAGACTTTTTCCCCCCTGAATATGGCTCTGGTTATCTCGTTGTTTAATTGCTCAAAAAAAAGTTTAGCTATTAATTACAGTGCAAAGAAAACAGAACACCAGAAGACAGGACTGCTATCAAGAAGGCAGAGAAAGGGCACAGAGCTACCCCATCTGCCTATCAGGAGGGTATGCTGTGGTCTCTGGCTCCATATGACAACTTCAGGGTCAGGCCCATTGAGTCCTACTGGGAAGACTTGTGGCAGGTCATCTGTTGGTCCTGGGCTGCTTGCAATTTATTTTCCTGACAGTTCATTCTTCTTGCTGACAGAATAGTCTTTCTGCTTTTTTTTTTTATCAGTCACCCCTTTGGTCTCTTCCCACTGCTGTCTCTGGCATCAATTCACAACAAAACATGTTCCTCAGCCAAAGCCTGCTGAGTTGGCTTTTCAGTTGTGTTGAAGATCAGGTGATGTTCATCCTCCCAAATAACAATTCACAGCTGAAATTAAGGGCCTCTTGCCTCCAAAGGCCACTAAGCATGTGGGTTGTTAACAAAAGAAACTAAGTAAGGGTGGTAGTATACCGAGACGTGTAACTAATTCCCTTGGGACTTATTTGGTGGCTCTCAGATAGCAGGAAAGATTTGACTGCAAAAGATTTAAAACTTAGCTCTTTTTTTCAATGTTGTAGTGCATCAAACACATTCTAAAGTAAGACTTTTGTATTTTTGTATATTTAAGTCAAAATTGTAACAGTTTGCTAAAAATCTAACCTTTTTCATGTACTTAAGTGGCATAAAACTGGTATGTTTTATAGCTCTATCAATAACCTCATTAAAGTGAACTGAACACTCTGAGAGATATGGTGCTATGGGAAGTCTTATAAAGTTCAGTTAGGTTTACTCTGGAGTAGTGAATACAACATTACAATCCAAACTGAAATAATTCAAAAATACCTGCTTATGTACACTGTGGGAACACAAGGATCTATTTTATTAATTTTAAACATTAAAAACAAAGCTAAAACCAGGTTTAACTATTTCTCCTTTGAGGACGTTAACAAAAAATGCTCCAGAAACATCTTTCTTAAAATGCATACATTTTACATTAAAACAGCAAGAAATCAAATTCTAACACTTACCTCTCCAATGCTAAAGTCTCTACATTTATTTCCACCTGCTATCAATTTGTACTGGATGTAAACACTTTTAGTAAACTATGTGAACATAGTTTTATATATTGCACTGTATGTGAAATCTTAAATGGGTAATAAAAATCAGTCACGCACAGAGCTTAACTTAAAATAATTGTGCATTACAACATTTCAACGCAAAAAAAAATTAATCACATAAATACATACACAGAGCTAAACACGTTCTTAAGTTAAAGTGAATCATGACCACGGGGCAAGCTTAAAGGAAGAGCTGTGACAAAAAAAAATATTTCTTCTTCTCTGCAAAGCTGTCAACTCAACATTCCCAGTGTTTTGACCTCTGAAACAAGCAAGGAATCGCTAGCATTGTGGGCTGAAGGCTATATACGTGGAGCTGAGCAGTGCAACTGTTACCTCATTAGATGCCTCTTCCTGCTTGTTCTGGTAATCTGTCAAGGTACACCTCAAAGTCTCAAGGACAAGAGTGAAGCTCGGAGGTTTATCTTTGTCCTTGTGAATGCCTGAAGAAAAATACAGAATCAAAACAAAGCCCTTAGAGCTGAACAGAGAGACAGGAAAACTTCTCCAAGAGCTACAGAGATATTTAAATCAGTTGGGCTCCAGTGACAATACAGAATGTTGAACAACCCCTGTGTTTTCTCCAAGGCACACTGGTGGATCTGTTCTTTAATATCAAATAAAGCTGAAGAAGAATTTTTGCGCTATGGTTACAGTTCACCACATGAAAAATATGAACTCTGGCTTGTTTTCCTACACATCTTCAGGCCTACCTCCAATCTTATTTAAAGGTATCTAATGATTGCAAGTCTGCGTGTCGTTCAAAAAAGATCATCCTCCAAACGAAACAAACATTTGCTTTCAAGCACAGAGCATTCATGCCTTCAATGATTCATGTTCTGCCATGCATTTTGGAAAGAAACTTTCTTTCTATGCCAAAGGACCGCAGGCTTCCTATTTTGCCTGGGTGCAAGTTAAAGCATTTGAAACCTCAAAATATTATTTCTTCTCATACCCTGCACAGGAAAAAAAAATGAAAAATAAAACCCAAATGATTATCTAACCTAATTTAGCTGATGGCCACATTTGTCAATAGTGACATTCCTAATTCCTCTTTTTCTCAAAAATAGTCTTTTCACTGTTCATTAATTAAGTAGTCATGGCAGACCTTAATCAAGAGTTTAAATCATGGTTCATCAGCCAGGATGTCATCTGTAACCAAATGTAAAATTAATAGTTTAAACACTTCATTAGAAGCACAATGTCGGAGAGTTCAGACTATCATAACTGACTTCTTATTGGTATCATTATCATCATCATCATCATCATCATTATTATTATTATTATTATTATTATTATTATTATTATTATTATTCTGTGTTTTGCATGTATACAAGAGCTTCTGAACTGGAGACAAATTCCTTATGTGTCTAATCACACTTGGCCAAATAAAGCTATTGTCAACCCTGAAGCTTACCTGACAGAAGCCATTTTAAGTCTTCAGTGTTGCCGCAATGGAGCTGGGGAAGGGGGAATAGAGATAGCTGGGGTTTTGTAGCCAAAATAAAAACTTTCCCCTGGGAACCAAGGACATTCTAACACCTGGCCAGAGAGAGGAGGAGCGACATTACTAGGCGACCGAACGCCACTTTGATTGGACCATGTGACTGTTGGGGAAGGGGAAAAACTTTTACTTTTAATTAGGTGAAAACCATGGGAACCTTCAGAGTCGGTTTTCACCGGAACAGTGCCAATATAATACATCCAATAAAATTATTCTTTGAGGAAACTACCTGCCTCAGAGTTTTGTTTGCTATGAGTGTATTACTTGGAACCCTGACAGCTATTCTGTTCTGTTCTGTTCTGTTCTGTTCTGTTCTGTTTTACTCTACTCTACTCTACTCTACTCTACTCTACTCTACTCTACTCTACTCTACTCTTCCTGAGAACTGGCACTCAAAATGAACTTATACATAGCACACACAGGTATAGGATGAATGGATGCTATTCTTTTTAAAAATAATTTTCTAAAGTTACTGGAAGCAGCATGATCTGGATGTACAGCATGATCTGCATATACTTTTAGCCACTGTGCTTTAAATACAGTTTTCAAAATGCATAAGTGCAAATGATTGTTAAATACAACAAGGTCTTATGCTACATGATGGCTAAACAGATGTTTCCAAAATCTTCAATTCTATAACAATATTCCAAAACTGAGCACAGTTAGTTTCTATAAAGATGTGTATATATGAAACGTATCTAAAAGAATATGCAAACAACTTTCTGAAGATGATTGGAGATCACTGTGATTTCTTGATATATTAAAGATATAGCCTTTATTAAGAGAGTTGTTCCATACATATTGGTTTTGGAGGCCATTAGTTCTGCATCTCACATTTCAAAATCATTGTCATCTAAAAAAAGCAATCTAAAAAAATATTGAGAAATAAATAAATAAATATGAAGCCAGCACAATTCTTTATTCTAAAGACTAAAGACCCTACAAGCCAAGGATATATCACTTTATTCACATTTCTTTTCTTTAAAAATAAAACTCTTTAAATTGGCTAATTTTATTTTGAAGAAAAAGCAACTCCAAGGAGCTTCAATCCAAAATGTGCTCTGTTTCTACACTGAACCTCTCCTGTTTCTCATCCATTCATTGTTGTTATTGCAACCAAAATTTCTGCTTGCCATAGCCACAATTATTTTTGATAAAAACCATGAAAGTCAGATGCTTTCACAACTTGTGGCAAAGAATATTCTAATGCATTTTTCCCCGGATGTCTCCAGTCTCTTTGCCGTGAAAGTTGAAATACAAAAAAAAAGTAAAGTGAAATAAAGCTACTGAAATGAGTGAATAATGAAAGTGTTTAACTCAAGAATGTTTTGATATTATTTATTTGATTTCTATCCTGTATTAAACATGGCCATTACTGAACCTGACCAGATCATGAAGAAAAACAGCTGGCACAGATATCTGTGCAAACAACATACAAACTATTCTTCATTACAGTCATCATTGTAGTTAAAGATCAAGAAGCACCGCGAATCTGCACTTTTAAGAAAGTCCAAAACAACTCAGAACCAGGTAAATTTCAGTTTCATACTCATCATTAGACTGATTAGATGTAATTTCAGCTTATTATCTTTTATCTAACCCATTATGAAACTTAAGCAATTTTCAATAGTTCTCCAAAATTCCAGATACTTTTCGAGAGTGGCTTCATGAAGGTGTTGAGCAACACTGGGCAATAAGGTAGAACCCTGAAGGAGGCCATTAGCTATAGGCCTTGATGCAGAACAATCGTCCCCCAATGCCAGTTTCTCAACACAGCCCAATGAAAGCAACAGAATCAGGATAAAACTGTGCTTCCAAGAGCAGGATCAGCCTAAAACAAACCATGGAATGATGATCTGTCAATGACAATAGAGCAATACAGAATTCCTCTACACGAATACTTTCAAACAAATTTCTGGGCTGCAGTCTCTCATGCCCATTAGTAACATATATACTTTCCAAAAATGTATAGGCAGGGGTGTAGAGTGTGAGTTTGTGCATGGATTATAATTTGGATCTGAGTTGGTGTGGGAAAGCCTTCTGTACACATTGCCAGCAAATCAGTAGCAGAGCAACAATTGGTCTTTTGATTAACCTCTGCCTCAAGAAAAAGTAATGTTCTAAGAAACGTTAAATAAATATATCAAGCAGAAGTATTTTACGAGAAAGATATTGGATAGAGGGGATAACCTGAAGTAAGTCACTTGATATTAAAATGTAATAATATTTTATCTGGGATGAGAGGCTTCCTGGGCTCCTCAGAGGGAATAATAAACTTAATAGGTAAGATGTTAAAAGAAAAAATATACCGGATGTTAAAAAGGAACTGCATGTCCTATATATCTGTTAAGAAGCAGTCTGGTAGCACCTCATCCACCTAACCAATTTTGTTAAAAGGCATAAGCTTTCATGAGCTGCAGCTCACTTCATCAGAAGCACAGAGCAGGTAAAACTGATGGCTATCAGCTCACTTCTCACACTGCATGTTTCTTTCTATTTGTTTAAATATTTTAAAATTCTCAACTCATAAGCAAAGGCAGCTTAAGTATGAATTCTATTCCAGTCCTGTGATTCCTATGTTCTGGTAAGGCAGTTTTCCTTTACTCTGTATTCTAGGGTCTCCTTAGAAAACAAATCCACAGATCTGTCTATGGGCACAGCCTTGCGTTTCCGCCTCTTCCCAGTGCTATGCTACTAATGGTTTACACGCCTAAAGCAGGGGTGGGCAACTATGGCCTCTTTATGACCTGTGGACTTCATGGCTGGCTCAGGAATTCTGCGAATTGAAGTGCACAGGTCATACAGTTGACCATAGTTGCTCACTCCTGTCCTAAAGCAAAACTAAAGCAAACCACAATAGTTGCCATATTAGCTGTGTTTGATATTACCCTTAGAAAACTGTGTGTCCAAATGCTCAGCCCCACAAACTGTAATGTATGGTTTACTTTACACCAGAGGTGGGGGAAAATGGCCACTTTATGACTTGTGAACTTCAACTCTGGCACAGGAATTCTGGGAGTTGAAGTCCACAAGTCCTAAAGGGGCTGTCGTTCCCCACCCCTGCTTTACACAAAAACTGGGTCACCGTTCTTTATTATATTGGCCATAACCATTCATTTGATCTCTTTTTTTTCAATGTGCTGAAAAAAAAGACATGACCCTGGTCAAAAGACTTAAGGAAACAACCAAATGTCAGCCTATTCTTTTGTTCAGCCTCAAGACATGACCTACCTATGAGTCTGTTTAATGTAGTGGCACATTACAAAATGTTAAGTCTATAGAAAGGAGACAAGAAAGCAGTCATCCCAAAAAATAAGATAATAGCATATTTCCCACCACCACCTTTTCCCCCCAAGACAACAAAGACAATTCTAACATTAAAACTAAAAATAATACCTATATACAAAAGCATATGTTATATGCGAATGATTCTTTTCAACTTGCTTTACTTTGGCTCTTTCTTTCTTGGCAGCTCAATCTCCTTTGCCAAAACCTCTGCACTAACCAAGTTGTTCCAAAATGCTCCGTTCAGAAACTTATTCAATGCTTCTGAAAAGGAGGAAGTGCGCTCCTAGCCAATTTCAACAGTCTCAGTTCCCTGGTTTCTCTAAGCTTTGTCCTGTGTGTCTCCCTATCTCCCCAGATGCAGAAGGGTTTTTGGTTCCAAACCTTTGGCTGGGTTGGATGAGGGCCATGAAAAATTCATGGTAATTACATCAATACTCATTTGCAGTGAAAGCTGAAATGCAAGAGGGAACGACGAGTAAATCCCCGCTGTGTGAAAGAAGAAAACAAATCTCAACTATGTAGTGGGAAAGTCCCTGCTTCCAAATGGTGATTAATACGAACTGGGGCTGTATCACCGTGGAATTGAAGGCCAGAAGTCTTCCAGTGCCACTTCTGTCATTGTAAAAAGATGTATTATCAGGATCCTTTCTGTCTAGAATTACTTCCCCTCTGACTTAATGTGGGTGGCCCACTGGCAGCCTAGTCTTGAAAAATAATACAAGTGATAGGACAGATTTATGCAGAAAGAGTGGAAGAATTCGGTAAAGTATGGTTGTTTTTTCACTTTTTTGGAGAAAAGAGAAAGGGTTGAGCTTGTTTAAGACTATTTGATACCATTTTAGGAGATCACTTTAATGCATATCGTCTGCTTCCGCAAAATGCAAGTGTTTGCCCAAAGTAGACTAGAGTTATACTCTCCTTTGTGAGTTTGGTTACCCTTCTGGCTACCAGAAGCAGACCAACTGGAAAGGAAGGCAAATGTGTGTAAAGATGGAATTACAGTGGCTAAACAACAAATCTCAAAAGAATGAGGGAAAAAGACCTTTCATCTCTGAAATTTCTTTCAGCACTTTCCTCCATTTGATGATGCAGGGCAGACAATGGGGGTGGGGGGGAGCCACTTCTGCACTTGGGTTGGGGTGGAATTTGCCTTGGCATCACAACTCTGTTAGGAGTCATGTGATAAACTGTCCTACACGACTTTTTCTGAACACACAACCTTTAAGTAGCTGAAGGTTGCCTGTGAATTTGGCTCAGTTCAATCAAAAACATCTGTTCCCCTGGTAAGTCCGCTGTCAGGACTTTTTTCACATCTGGCTTTCGCCGCAACCTTTCCCAGCCAATCGCAAACAATCCAACACTTGTAAATCAAGTTTGGGCTGACAACAGCAGGTCTGCATTCAGTCACCCCATCTCAGCCAGTGAGGCCACTCAACTGCTGTGAGAGCTGCTCTTAGCATGTCATCAAATCAAAGCATGTTGAGAAGAGGGGAATGTAAGCGGCATCTGCAGAATTCCTCTATTTAGTGATGTTGGAACATTGACAAATGCATCTGTCATTTCATAGCTTCAACTAACCTGCTGTCCACTGGCTTGACATAGTAAAGCTGTCCAGAAGTGACTCCAGCTCTCTCACATTGTTTTCACATGTCTCTGCTAGGAAGGCCTGGCGTTTCCTGGTCTTCATTTGGCACGAGTGAGAAGAAAGCAAAAAAAAAAAAAAAGATATTAAAGGCATAGAAGAGTCATTCATAACCACCAAAACCGTTGCAGGATACACCATGGACTAATATTTAAGTGAAACAAAAACAAATTGGAGGAATTTCCCGTTACCAAAGTAACAAAATTAAAGAAAAAAGTGGAAAATATTTCAAGGAAGTAGTGCCATGATGATTGCTTTTCCAGGTTAATTTCCAGGTAAATGGTAGATTTTGCATAATTTTAATGTTCTGCTGTTGAGCAAAGCCCAATTAAACCATCAGGAACTAATTAAAACGTTACCCAGGAACCATTCATATTTTTCTCTATTGCAAAATACATCCTGGCTGGGAAATATGGCAATCCCAAAATCTGGCATGGCACCAAGATGCCCGTGAAGAAGTCCGATAAATGGGTTCTCTGCTGAGATGTCTGGTTGATGTATTTAGTTTTGGTCTTCCAAAGTAGCTTCTTTTGTGTAATCTCATCTATAGGAAGCTACAACTGGTGAAAACTACATTCTGCATTTATAACTAGGAAAGTACCTTCCTGATGTTTATTTATTTTTATTTTTTTATTTTATGTGATTTGTATGCCGCCCTATCTCCGTAGACTCAGGGTGGCTCACAACAATAAAAACAAACCCAATGAAACATAAAATACATACAAAATACATAAATGTATAAATATAAATTTAAAACATATATTAAAACCCATTAAAATAATCAAACCCCCTCAGTCCAGGTTGGGCGATGTAAACAGCCATGTTTTTAATTCGCGGCGGAAGGTGCGAAGGTCAGGAGCTAACCGAAGCCCTAGGGGGAGTTGATTCCAAAGAGTGGGCGCACCCACAGAGAAAGCTCTGCCCCTGGGGGTCGCCAGCCGGCATTGTCTAGCCGACGGCACCCGGAGCAGGCCCTCCCTGTGAGAACGCACCAGGCGATGGGAAGCTGTTGCTGGCTGCAGATGGTCCGACAAATATCCTGGGCCTAAGCCATATAGGGCTTTATAGGTCATCACCAGCACCCGGAGGGCAACCAGTAACCATGCAAGTCATGCAGGAGAGGTGTAACATGGGAGTATCGGGACCCTTCCATCACAACCCGCGCGGCCACATTCTGCACCAGCTGAAGCCTCCGAATGGTCAAGGGCAACCCCAGGTAGAGAGCATTACAGTAGTCAAGACAGGAGGTGACTAGCGCATGAGTAACTGTGCGTAGAGCATCTCAGTCCAAGTAGGGACGCAACTGACGCACCAGACGAATCTGGGCATATGCCCCCCCTTGGTCACGGCTGTTATGTGATCATCTAAACTCAACCGTGGATCCAGGAAGACACCCAAGTTGCGTGCTCTGTCTATGGGGAGTAAAACTTCGCCCCCTATAGCCAGCGGTGGAACCTCTCCATCGGATCGAGATGCCGGTACCCACAGCCACTCAGTCTTGGCAGGGTTGAGCAGAAGCCTGTTCCTCCCCGTCCAGACCCGTACCGCTTCCAGGCACCGGGACATCACATTGAGGGAATCACTGGGCTGGTTTGGGGTGGATATAAAAAGCTGGGTATCATCAGCGTACTGATACCTCACCCTGAAGCCATGGATTATCTCCCCCAGCGGTTTCATATAAATGTTGAACAGGAGGGGCGAGAGAACCGACCCCTGCGGCACCCTACAAGTGAGGGGCCTCATGGTCAATCTTTGCCCTCCTGCCAACACCGCTTGCATCCGACCTGAGAGGTAAGAGGAGAACCACCGTAAAATGTTGCCTCCCACTCCCAACCCCTCGAGGCGCCGCAGCAAGATACCATGGTCAATGGTATCAAAAGCCGCCGAAAGATCTAATAGGACCAGAACAGAGGAATAACCTCTGTCCAGAGCCCTCCAGAGATGTAGTGTCTAAATCAGTATATCTTAACCTTGGGAACTTTTAAGATGCATGCACTTCAATTCCCAGCATGGCTGGCTGGAGAATTCTGGGAGCTGAAGTCCACACATCTTAAGGTTCTTAAGATTGAGAAGAACTACTCTAGATGTGGAATAGGACAACTCACCACAGCAAAGTCATAGTGGCCATCTCGCCATAGCCATTCTGCCATGGCCAACTCGCTGCGGGACAACTTTCTGCAGGACAATCCCATGTGCAATAAATGTTATCTGCCATTGTTCCTTCAACATTATTTCTATTGACAAAAATGGAAATAATGTAGAAGAAACAGTGGCGGATAACATTGCATTGAGTTATCCTACATGGAACTATCCCATGGTGAGTTAACCACAACGAGTTGTCATATGGTGAGCTGGCCGCAGCGAGATGGCCGCATGGAAATGGCCACAGCAAGTTGGCAGTGGTAAGTTGGCTGCAGGGAGATGGCTGTGGCAAGTTGGCCAGGGCGATTTGTCCTTAGACCCTCTAGATGACAGACAGCAAAGATGAAGTTTCATCCTTGACCAGGCAAAGCAAAGTCTCTCTAAAGAGAGACAGTTGGCTTTCATTCACATTCTATGAGATTAGGGATAAGTATTCAAAAAAAGACAAACAAGAAAGAAGTCAGAGGAACCAAAAGATCTTCCATACATCAAAACAGTCAGAAGATTTTTCTTCAGCCAGCATCTCTGCAATGAAGATGTGTGGAATCCAAGATCTTCTTCAAGGATATAGCAAGTGAATTGATTATATTGATTGTATTCCTAATTATTTGTTTGTGACCGTTTCTTTCCCTTGTTTTCTCTTATTTCCCCTTTTCATATCTAAAGATTGAGCTTCATTACTTTTAGCATGAAATTCCTTATTTTTTTCTTTATATTTACCATACAATATGCAGTTGTATAGTTACATGAGCAGCACATGATTAGTTAAGTTCCATAATCTAGGGCTTTGGGTAGGAAGATCCAAAGTATTTTCCTTTATTTTCTTAGAAAAGGGCTGAGAAAAGAGCTAACCAGCTTTGCTTAGTTCGCCAGAGGCGGAGGCATCTAACTGAGTATTACCAGTTACTGATGATACCTCACCTCCTGACAATGGATGATCTTCCCCAGTGGCTTCATGTAGACGTTAAACAGAAGTGGAGAGACACTGAACCCAGAGGCATCCCACACGGTAGGGCTGATGGTGGGATCTCCCATTCCAGATCAATACCAGCTAGTATCAGTCCCTTAGGAAGGAAAAGAAGCAGCATAAAACTATGCTGCCTGTTCCCAATCCTCAGAGCTGATCATTGTCAACGGCACTGAAAGCCACCAAAAGATCACGTACAGTCAGGATGGACACACTACCCCTCCCTCCAGAGACCATCAAAAAGTGCAACCAATGCCATTTTTGTCCTGTGTCCAGGCCTAAATCCTGACTGAAAATATTTTAGTCATGTTTTATTCAGGATCTACTGAACCTGCTGCGTGATCACCTACTCGACAACCTTCCCTTAAAAAGGGTGGTTGGGCACTCGAACAAAATTGTCCAATATGGTGGGATATATTAATGGCTTCTTATGGAGACAGTAGACCCTCCTTAAGAGGCAGAGGAAGAATTCCCCCTCTCAAGGATGAATTAACCACTGCTAAAACCGAACCACACATTTCCCACCCACCCCCGGCAGCATTAGTTAGCTAAGCGTGGCATGGATCTCAAAAGCAGATGGTTGAGCTCATAGTCATGAGAAGAACACGGCCCATTTTCTCTTAAGTTTTAAATATCTTACAGCCAGAGCAAACAGAAAATGTGTTAAGGAGCTCAGAGAGACACCTTTCTAATTCACATGGGCATAAGGAGAAAGAGATTCAAAACAATCAGATTTGCAAGATGACTCTCAATAAAACTAGTCTTAGGTTTCCTGTCGCTTCCCTGGTGCAGCTTAATACCTAGAGACTACAGCAATGTTGATTCCTGGTGGTTTCCTCTTAGTACTACCGTGTTTCCCCGAAAATAAGACCCTGTCTTATATTTTTTTGAACCCTGAAATAAGTGCTTGGCCTTATTGCCATGCACTCAAAAGCCCGTTTGGGCTTATTATCAGGGGATGTCTTATTTTGGGGAAAACAAGGTACCTAGGCCTGAAACCTAGGTTTTTTAATTCGATTGAGGTTGGCCAGCCAGTGCCACATGTGGCTGTTTCTCAAAACTTTTGGTTTTTTGCACTCATGTCAAAAGAACTGAGGCGCTTCTGGGTTGAAAGGATTAGCCAGTGACATCATCATTGCCCTGGGGATGCCCAATTAGGGGCTCCTTTCATGTCCCCAGCAGAGATGGAGTGAAGGACAAGAGCTCAATCCCGTCCCACAACAGCTTTTGAGTCTCAAACACAGGCTCACTAACTTCCTGCCCAGCGTCCCAACCACTCAAGTCACCACATTTCTACTTATGAGATAAAACTTGAACAATACTATTAAGATGGTCTTCCACATTTTGTTATAGTACAATTGTATTATACCTAGTGTTACAGTTTAATAACTTTCATTTAACTAACCATGCAGGATGATCTGTAAAGAAGAGCATATTTTATTTGCAGGTTAGTCTTACAAAAATTTGCCAGAATGGGTCATTTGTCACTGGCATTAGTAGATACTGGGTCTGAGTTTGGTTTATGATCAAAAATCCTGGTTAATTATCAAAAAATCTGATAGCATTTCATATTTCTTGTTAGGTAAAGGTAAAGGTTCCCCTCGCACATATGTGCTAATCGTTCCCGACTCTAAGGAGTGGTGCTCATCTCCATTTCAAAGCCGAAGAGCCAGCACTGTCCGAAGACGTCTCTGTGGTCATGTGGCCAGCATGACTAAACGACAAAGGTGTACAGAACGCTGTTACCTTCCCACCAAAGGTGGTCCCTGTTTTTCTGCTTGCATTTTTTACATGCTTTTGAATTGCTAGGTTGGCAGAAGCTGGGACAAGTAACGGGAGCTCACCCCGTTACCCGGCACTAGGGATTCAAACCGCTGAACTGCCGACCTTTCAATCGACAAGCTCAGCGTCTTAGCCACTGAGCCACCGT